GGAACACAAAATAAATACCAGCAGCACAACAAAATCCCTCTTTATTTGTGCTGTTTGGCGTTGTTGTTGTTGCTGCTCTGACATAGAAAAACAAACCCACCATTGAATTGTCTCGTTAGCCATACAAACACACTAACACACACAAAACACCAACAGTGCTCTCTCTCTCGTTCTCACTTGTTTGCTCACTCTTTGCATTTCTCATGTGTACGAGAGAATTGAATTGCCCATTCGTTGTATAACAGCACAAAGCAACAACAAACGAACGAAAGACCACCGACCACGTTGTTGGTTGCATGTTTCGTGTGTGTGTCGACAAAGGGGGCAATGACGATGATGATGTTTTGTGTGTTTGTTTGTCTGCTTCTTCTTCTTCTCTTGTGTAGATTTCTTTATTTCTCAACAACAACATTTTTCTCCGTTTTCGGCATTTTGATTATTTGCCGCCCATCGTGCTGTGTCGTTTGCTGTTCGCCTGGTAAAAAAGAGGGAAGCGAAACTTTTTGGCGGGGTCTCGTTTTTCCTGGTTCGTCCAAAGTCAAGTCCAACCGGCATTCACGGGTGGTGTTCTCGTCGATAATTGCTACCCATTAAAATTCCCGTTCGCTAGTCAAAAACTTAGTGGGTCGGTCATTATTTGAATGAAGTGTGCCGTGCCTTTTCTGCTTCTTGTACTTCGTGCCGTTTTCGAATGTTGTGTGTGGTGGGCAGCAGCCAGCCAGACCCAGCCATGGTGGGTCTCACTCGATACTGTTTTTGCTTTGTGTGCCTGCATATACTACCCCTCCCTTGAAAGGGGGTGTGTGTATATGAATGGTTGGCTGAATGCTGCTGCTGCTCGTTCATGATCACGTACGTTTTGATAGTATTTGTTGGGACATATTTCGTTTCATTCATAGCTGTTTAGCCGGCAACCACCGCCTCATTTGTGTGGTGTTGTTATTATTTCCTTCGTGTGAATCAGCTGTTTTGTTTGCAAAGAGTACGGTACACAGTGTTATTGTTTTTGCTGGCATTCGTTTTGTAGAGAGAGTCAGTGAGGGTGGTTGAAGTTGTGGGTAGGGATTTTGTGAAATTGTGTCTGGCAAATTGAAATGTGTGTTAAGGAGTGTGATAACAAACAAATCGTTTCTACTTCCTCTAAAAATTATTTAAAGGAAATTTGTCTTTGTCTTCTTAACATGTTTTCTTTTGATGACTTTCTCCATTTATTTACTCCTCCTGTTGCTTTATTACTCCATGACGGCAAAGATGGGTGTTTTCTTCTTGCCATGTGTAATAGTGGTGATAATTGTTCGTAACTAATCGGGGGTCATGTTTCATTGTAATGAACGGCGTGCGTATTTGGTGTAGGAGGCGTGGTTGCTGATAAAGAAATTAAAAATAAATAATGAAGCACAGTGGTGCATGGGTATATAAATTGCGAAATGTTTTGTAAATAAAATAATTGGAAATTTTAAAGATTTGTAATAGAGAAATGGATGACAGATACCAAGCAAATGGCTCTGATTTGCTTTAACATGGCGCAGCCCAGGCTTATCTTGGTCCCTCTTTCAACTCAATTGTGGACACTGGCCTCTCCGCAGTGCCGCCTGGGTTAACTATTTTCATCATCCATTGAAATAGTGAGCTGATATGTGCCGCGAGTTCATCCATAAGAACTATAAAAAATGGGTTGAGGCGTCGGGTTAGTTGTCCACACTCGGAAAACTCCTCTTACTATGAAAAAGGAACAAAAAGAAAACCAAACCCCCCAATGTTGACGACCCCCGCAAACGTATAAAGGACCACGATCTGCGAATCTGCACTTGGAATGTGCGCACGTTGTACAGAACTGGCGCAGTTTTCGCCTTGGCGGATTTAATCTAGAAGTACGTAAGTAAATCAGACAATTACGCCCTGTATTATAGCTGCCATGAAACGAGACATGAATTTGCCTGCGGATTTATTGTTAATAGGAGAATAAAAGACCTCGTCTCCAGATTCACTCCAGTAGATGAGCGAATTGCAATAATCCGTATAAAAGCGAAGTTCTTCAACATAAGTCTTATTTGCTCCCATTCTCCGACGGAAAACAAAGATGAACAGACCAAAGACATTTTTTACGAGCGCCTAGAAACTGCATATGACCGCTACCCTGGCCATATCCTGTAGAGTTGAAAATGGAAACCTGGTGACAGATATATATAGCGTGTGAGGATCTGGAAGGAGCATTTTGAAAAGCTGCAGGTATCAAATAGTGGCGGTAAAGAAGATACCATAGAACCAATATGAGATGACGGTATTGAGTGTATACTACCTAGGCAAGATGAGATCAGAGTAGCAATTAATCGACTGAGGAACAATAAAGCAGCAGTTGCCCCTGGGTTACCAGCCGAACTATTCAAGATGGTCAGATGCTGGCCAGGAGCATGCACCAGATTTTTTGTATAATTTGACTAGAGGAATGCATGACCACAGCATCCTGTGTCCCATGCACAAAAAAGGAGACAAGACGATATGTGCCAACTATGGAGGAATAAGTCTCCTTCCCATCGCATATAAATCGCTATCCAGCGTACTGTGTTTACGACTGAAGCCAATGGCCAATGCCATTATTGGACCATAACAATGGGGCTTCAGGCCTGGCAAATCCACCAGCGACACTTTCCACCTATTCGTCGACTATAAAGCCGCATACGACAGCCCAAGGCGTTCAGAGGTGTTTACAATCATGTCTTCGTTCGGCATTCCTGCCAAATTATACAGGATAACTTAAACTGGCACAAGGTCAGCAGTTAAATTCGGAAAGGACCTCTCGAAGCCCTTCAATACCGAACGAGGATTCAGACAAGATGATAGTTTGTCATGTGACCTCTTTAACGTCCCGCTGGAAAAATTCATATGAGATGCACATGTGAACATAAATGACACTCTGTACTCCAAATAGCACTCGCCTACGACGACGACATCGACATAATGGGTCGAACATTGAGAGCGGTAACAGCCACCTTTGAACAAATTGAAAAGGAGTCTGCCAAAGTGGGTTTGGCAGTAAACGGCGAGAAGACCAAGCTGATGGTATCAATACGCAGGACGTCCAGTAGACTCGGATCAACTGTGGAACTTGAGAACTACAGTTTTGAGGTAATAAACGATTTTATATACCTCGGTACCGCCATAAATGAAACTAATGACACCAGTTTTGAAATTCGGAGGAGAATAGTGTTGGCCAACAGAAGCTACTATGGTCTGAGTAAGCAAGACCACCTCTTGCAAGACCAAACTCACACTCTACAAGACGCTGATACTACCTGTGCTGTTATATGGATCAGAAGCATGGGTACTTGCGTAAGTAGATGATGCAGCTCTTGGAATGTTTGAGAGAAAATTTCTCTGAAAGATCTATGGGCCGATCTGCGTTTACGGTGAATAACGCCGTCGAATGAATCATGAGCTATACCATATATTCTCGGACATCGGTATTGTCAGACGTATCGAGCTGCAGCGACAACATTGGCTAGTACATGTTGTAAGAATGAATGAAGATGCCCCAGCACAAAGGACATATAAATGATGGTTCACACAGAAGGGGAAGCTCATGAATCCGATGTAAAGATCAAGTGGAAGATCACATATCAAAACGTGGTCTTTCAAATTGGAAAAATTGCGCGGCTGGAAATCTTTTTACGTTCGGCTTATGGAACAATTGTTCTGTCACAAGCCAGCAAAGTAAGTTAGATAACTTTTCAGGATCATGTTTTCGCGGAGTGTTAAGATCGCCTTTCCCGTGAAAATGATGTTGAGCTTATAATTGTGGCTTACGACTAGAACACCAGACAAAAAAGTGTTCGGTCTATTTTACCCCCTAAATATCATCATATTCGCACAGCCGAAAACTATAGATATCGCTCTTGTCCATAAGCGGAACTTCATGTACAATTTCATAGCGATCAACACAAAAGTCTGGCTCTATTTGAGCTGCAAAATATTGAACGATTATAATGAAAACAGCTATACCTATTCGTTGACCTGATTCCCATCTGCGTGTACTTTTCATATGTCATATGTGTGGCCTCTAGATCGACCAGAAAAACAGATAACATTTTTTGATTAATTTTATTCCCCAAACGAGGGGTCTTCTTTGGCCGGAACCAGTTCTATGTGCGAAAATTCGAGACGATCGGTCCATAACTGTGGCCAGTGCTGTAATTATAAATTATAATGGACAAACGGACGGACATACATGTCTAGATCTGCATAGCTAGTCGAGCTATGAAAATCGGTTAAAAATTGGGTCTAGAACCCTTACAACATGGTTGTGCAGGGTATAATTATTCCCGTACTGTAAGAATCTAATAATTTTTACTATTTTTTTCGATATCATAAAGGAAAAATTGTTATCGCGGTAAAAAATAGCAGATTCTTGCAGTACGGGAACATACCATATATATCTGTTTAAATTTCAAAAACTATCCTCGGTCAGGCCCATAAACCAGTAATTTTCCTAGATTTTTTCCAATGGTGGTCTTCTATTGAACCTCCGATTTTCAATAAATTCCATTTTTAATTTATTTTCTATATAACCTTGGCATTGGCAACTCTGTTCCTCATATCAACAAATTTCGATAACACGATTAATTTGAAAAATCGATTACCTCCATTCATTCCCTCTTATCGTTTTCTTTTTCCACATATTTCTACGCTCATTCGTAAATATTCACAGTCTCAGTTCCAATTAGAATTTTTACGTGTGAAGTTGTTTCGTCGTCGGAGTCGGATAGAAAACAGAGTGAAGCAACGAAACCGATTGTTGCATTCATGTGCGTGTGTTTGTGCATTGTTAATGAATGAATACAACAAAATATAATATTCTCAATTGAAATTTATTAATGAAAATATAAAAGAAAAAAGGAATTGCATTTAAATCAATTCCACTTCAAGAATATTCGCCATCGAGAAGAAGCAGAAGTGTGTGTTAAATTTTTGTGTGTGAGAGGAAAAGCCGCTTTGATTCCAAAATGATTTTAAGATTTCTACTTTGCAATGCATTGTTGGCATTGTGTGCTGCCACCGGTACCGGTAAGTTTTGAGAGACCAACCGACAGTCAGACAGACAACAAATCTATGAAACCGAAAAAAGGCGGGAGGAAATGGAAAACGGAGACAACTGTAATTCATAACCATATTATCAACATAAACAAATTATTAATTCAAAACATGTGTTTATTTATAGTCAGACTTTGAAATTCTTCCATATTGATGAGCCAGTGTTCTGAAGACTATGTTGCAATACAAAAGCTGGGAGAGAGTTCGAGTTTAATGAACCCACCATCGTGGATGTTGGATTCCCAATGCTATCTGTCTGATACGCCACTATCCCTACATTGTAACATTTTGTACCTTTTACAACAATTCCCATTTTTTAATCTCCTTCACATCCAACTGACTTGACTAATGATAACCTTAACCACAATAATCAGTTTTGAGGTCACTTCATTTTTTTTGATAATGGTGAAAGTTTTTTTTCAGTTCTGTTTCATTTGATTCTTTTTTTTTCTTTAGTTGCTTTGTTTGCTCCATCACACTCCATTCAGACACTGCCTAGCTGCTTGACTGACTGGCGGGATGGTTTTGTTTGCCTTCTTGTTTAGCAACATTACTTCTGTTGTGTTGCTTTGTATTTTTTATTCTGGAGCATCTGCAGCATCTGAGGCACATTTCGTTTTGTGAGATTCTGAGATTGCCTCCAGCATTCGATGTGTGTTTTCACGTTCATATTCTGAAAGAAAAATTAAAGAAATGGAAAATATGACGTGGCTTTTGAAAATAATGTTTTATTCAGCTTATCATGTTAATAAAACATTTTATGAAATGTTTTAATTTATATTTAATATCAACATTTATTTGAATATGTTTTGAGGAATGCAATAAATTTGAATATCTTAGAATATGTCACACTGATAAGATGGAAATTTGCTCGGGCAAAGTTAAAATATATGTCCTCAAGTAACATCACGTTTATAAATAATTAAACAAATTCAAATCATGAGATAATAATAAAATCAAATTGTTAATATCTCCCAAATAAGAATTTTCTGGATTGAAACGGATTGTAATTATAAATACGGCAATTTAGAAAAATGAATAATAGAACCATTACCAAAATTTCTTTTTTTTAAATCAAGTTTGAATTTTATGCACATTTAATTAATTTGTTAATGTCTAGATACAATGAAAGACTTGCCTCATCAAAATAATGGGTTTTAATCCCAAGTTACTATAGCAGAATTCGGTTTCAAATCAACCGAGCCCTAGGATAGTTTTGATTTTGGGTTAATAGTAAAAAATTAAATATTGTTTTTATGCCCCTTGGGGGCAGTGCAAAATCAACACAACAGCCAATCCGAAGTAGGCATTTCTGTTTACCATTTTTACTCGGCCAAATTTCTCGAGCAAAACGGTTATAACAATAAATCAATTTTGTTTTGTGTTGTGTTGATTTTGGTTAACAATTTTACTAGTTCTGTGGGTTCAGGAACGGTTTTTGAGTAAAAAGTTGGAAAACTTGTAAAATTAGTAGAATCTTTTAGGTTGTGGAACGGAACTAATGACTTCGTTCATTAAAATAGTAACAAATCGATCTTAAAGTATGTCATTTGTATATTCAGTGTAAAGGTTACATCTATTAGTTTGAAATTTATAAATGACCAAAATTATAAAATAAAAAATGTATGTGGCTTAAAAGGAAAAAATCTTCAAATGTGCCGCCCTCTCCCCTATAGCTTATATTCCCCGGTTGTTTGATATTGAAAATGGGATATGTTCATTTTTAGGTAGGTTACCATGCTTACTTACTTAGCTGGCCTATGACAGAACATTTGTTGAGCTTGAAAAATATTGCCAGGCGCGCCTATTTAAAAGACCATTCTCCGAGATGTTGTCTTCCACTTGATCTTTCCATCGAATTCGTGATCTTCCCCTTCTACGTGATCCATCCGTTGGCTCGCTTTTATATGCCTTTTGAGATGGGACATTGTCATCCATTCTCATACAATTCCTAGCCAATGTCGCTAAAGCTGTCGCTACGTCTGACTATGTCGATGTCCCAGACGGCGATCTTTCGTAGAATTTTTCTCTCAAAAACTCCAAGAGCTGCCTCATCTGCTTGTGCAAGTACCCATGCTTCTGATCCATATAACAGCACGGGTAGCACCTTGTAGAGTGTGAGTTTGGTCTGGCGAGAGGTGGCCTCGCTTTTGAGTTCCAACCAGAGTTTTCAAAATTGTGATCCTTTATGTGGGAGGTACTAGAAAAAGTGGGTCCAATCTTTTAAGATTATACAATCATGGTTTTAATATTAGGTTGTGTACAGTTTATTTCAAATCTTATAATTCATATGAGCACCAGCCCAAAACGTACACAAAAGTACCCAATTACAGCCAAACTCTCCACAATACCGACATTTTTTTTAAAAACATATTCAATATCCTCAAAATATTGATAATTTTTGGGACGAAAAATTTCCATTCTATGGGAAACCATGTCATATTATTGCAAATTCAGTTGAAAAAGTATCGAAAATACCGAAAATCGAGGTAATATTATATTCGGAGGTGTTGCCAATAACAAATTAATACATATTCCACCTTATGTTGGAGGATATAAAACACATTTAGCATTTTCTAGCATTATTTAAATGCCAATTTAGCTGCAACCTTATTTTTGATCTGGCCACAGTGCTCACATGAATGAATTCCAATCGAAAGTAAAATTCTGAAGAGACAAATGAAAGAAATGCAATTACGGAATTAAAGCCAATCCGATTGGAATTTGGGAAATGTCTGACAATCCCGGCATTCAGCCAATAGGTCGTTTAACAGAGGAGTCAATGTGAATATTGATGGATTTTGACCGGTCACTAAAAACATCGTTGCCCAGAAAGTCATGATTTCCATTCTTGAGTAAGAAGATTGTTTTTGACGTAGGCATACTGTGATTTGCTGTTCTTACTTAGATTAATAAATTTGTCTTATTTCAAGGTACACTAGTCTATCTGTTCTTTTTATTAGGAAGACTAATTGTAATGTAGTCCTTTGTTAATGTGCCAATATCGCCCTGGAGATTTTTTGATCCACCCATAAGCGGTGAAAATTCTCTAATAAATTTAACTTTTTTTGAATCAATGAATTGAAAAAGGAGTTGTTGATGGCATAAAATCTGTTGAATATACCTTAGGTGAGATCAATTCACGCTTCGAGATATTACTACAGATTCAATATGAAAAAAATACATCTGTTTTCCGTTCTTGATCGATCGTATGCCAATAAAGGACAAATGCGGTGCAGTGTTTTATTAATTAATAATATACCAAAATCCATAAGACTTTTGAAGACTATTATCGATTCTCGTCACGGTTACTATACTATCTTTAAACATTAAATAGGTTTAATGTTAAAAACATGCCAGTTATTGTGTAATGTCATTCTAATCTCATTTCTACATTTAATTTTTTTTTTTTTTTTTAATTTTAAACTAAAAATAATTGGTAAAATGCATGTTTTCCATCTAATATGTAGACTAGAGGAAACACGTAATTATTTTTCGTGTTACTAAAAAAACAGTATCGATAAAAATATCAGATTTGCAAATAATTTTGAATTATAATTAATATAATGTAAAAATTTCCCGAATAAGAACATTGACATATATGTTAAATAAAAATAATAATGTTTTTTTTTAATATAATTGTTATAATTAATGCATGCACCTTGTTAAAAACAACTTGAAACGGACATGTAATATTACCAATGATTAAAATGTATTAACTGAATGTTATAAAAAAACAAACAAATTTCTTTGCCTGTACTCCATGTTACCCTTTACGAACTTTAATTTTTAATTGCCTTGTTGAAACTTCTAGACTCTGATGAGTTATGAAGCTAGGTTCCATATTTGGATTATTTTTTTTAAATACTAGATTTGAGGAGAACATCATCATTTAATTGTCCTCCAAAAATGTTTTCCATTGTCCAAGCAATAAAAGATTTTTCTAAAAATATTAAAAATTCAGGCTTTAATTGGCCTGAAAAATATTTTTAAATATTCCATGTTTTGATAGGGCTTCAAAAAAATTTTGTTTTGTTCCACCCATTTATAGTTCTTCAAAAGTATTTTTCAAAAAAATGTTCGCTTTGATTCACAAATTTATTTAAACAGTCCATACCTTAATATGACGTGAAATAATATATTTGGAAAATAGTGTTTCAAAATTTTTAATGAAAAAGTTCACGATTTCTCAGAAATATTATTTTTAACAAATAAAAAAGTGTCAGTCGGGGTTGCTGACAGATATATACCCTCAACCTATGGTTTGCGGAGGAGGTCTTCGGAGTTATAAAAAGGGCTTTTATTCGTTTTTATAAATGTTTTGGATTTTATGTTGACTTTTGTAGGAGAGGAGAGGGCAGACGGGTCCCACCTTCGGCCTTGATCTAGGCTTGGTAAAGGTAATAGGTTTATTGGATATATATAAATCCAATAATAGGCAAATTGAATGCCCGAAAATGTTCACCATTTGTGGTGGAGGTACCAGAAGGAGTGGACCAATGCGTCCCATCTTCCTACTTGACCTAGGCATGGTAAAGATAATCGAACATTTCCATCGCCTGATGGAAGGAGTGGACTGATATTCCTCATCTTCGAACTTAAACTATGTTTGAAAGAAATATTAAGATGTGCAAAATTTGGATGAAATCGGTTATTACCTTTGTTGATAGCTCTTTAATCAAGCCTTTTAATTTTTTTTAAATTCTTCAAAATATCCTCGCCTTTTATTATTCCTTGAAAAAATATTCTTTAAAATATCCACGCCTTTTATTATTCCTTGAAAAAATATTCTTTAAAAAATCCACGTCTTTTATTATTCCTTGAAATAATATTCTTTAAAAAATACACACCTTGTATTGGTCTTTGGAAAAATATTATTTAAAAAATCCACGACTTTTATAAATCCACTTCTAGAGCTCCACTCTCAGACCTTTAATAATTCTCGTTTCAATTATGTTTGCCCTTGATAAATATTTATTCTTAATTAATTATTTTTTCTTTCTTTCCAGAACCCCTCTTCGCCCCCCTCGTTCCATTTGAAAGTTCACATTACTTTACGCTCACAAATAAGGTGACCGTCAAAGAGATGTCCCACGGTGCCAGTGAAGAAACCAGTTATAATTTCCGAACATTACTTCGCGTTAATTCAGTATGGTCTAAGGATAAGGATCAATTACTCCAATTATATTTCACCGAAAATCAAGTCTCTACCATCGACAAAAAAGGGAAAGAAAAAATTCAACCAATTTATAGAATACCCGATCGTCCATTCTACATTGGCTTCGAAGGACATGGTCCCACCAAAGTATTGGCCCATTCCTATAAGGATCAATCCCTACTGAATATGGAAAAGGGTATTGCCTCTCTGTTACAGCTGCAATATAAAGTTGGACCAATGGTCGAAATCGATTCTTCCGGTATGTGCAATGTTTTCTATAATGCCAAGTCCACAATGAAAGTGGAAAAGAAGAAAATCGATTGTTCCAATTGGGATTTGAAAATGGCCTATCGTTCGGAGAGGGCTTTGGGTAAGTTATTACACTTTTTCACTGAAAAATATTTTGTTGACTATGAATTTTTTCTCTTGCAGATATTTCCAGATTATCTTCGGAAAAGGTTGATTTTGACATCTCCCCTGAGGGTGCCTTGTTGCAGGCCCATAGTGTGGAAACCCATAAATTGTATTTGACAGCCCAACCAGAAATTGGCACCCTCATTGAATCGGTCACCACATTCAAACACATTGAAGAGATTGCCGAACCAGTTGAACAATTGAAATTTGAATCATTGACTGAGGCCGTGGAAAGTCTTTTGGAATGGTATCGTGAATTTGAAATTGAATCAGATGTGGATGGGGCCATATCGGAATTCGGGCCAGTGACGGTAGGACTTGGGAATTTTATTTTTTGGGAATTAAATTAAAATGTTTCCTTCCTTCTTGTCCACAGCTTAAAAACGAAGTCAAAAAATATGCCAAGAAACTCACGGGCAAATTAATTGGCCATGAGGAATTAGCTGAGGCCTTTGCCCGCATGGTCCCCGTGGCCCGTATTACCAGTCATGATGAATTTGTGGAGATATTGGAAAACCACAAGGATCTACATTCCCAATTGGTTGATCTCTTGGGTGCAGCACAAACCTTTGAAGCCCACAAGGCCATAAATAGTACCTATAAATACAATCGTTTGGCCGATTTCAATATGCTGGAAAAATACCTACAATCATTGGCTGTGGGAACCCATCCCGATATTGAAATTGTCAAAGATCTCTTTGCCATTGCCAAAACGATGGATGATTCACCTCTCTTCAAGAAAATCAAAAGTTCCGTCATACAATGTATGTCCTCGTTGGCCCATCATTTTGAGCGTGAAGTCATTGAAATTGATATACGCGATTATTTGACGAAAAATCTGAAAAAGGATTGTGGCAAGGATATCGATTGCAAATTGCTTATGATTCGCGGCTTACAAAATGTCCTCGATCAAAAATCCATTGAACCCTTGATGGGTTATGCATTTTTGGCGGAGGAGGATAAACTCGTTGTTGCTGCCATGCAGGCATTGCGTCGCTATTCTGTTACACATTTCAATGAACTACATCGTGTGGGTTTCACTTTGATATTCTTTCAAAATCGTAAAAAATATCCCACCTCGGCGCGTACTCTTGCCTTGGATATTCTGCTGGATATGCGTCCTACCAAAGAGCAATTGGGTCAGATATTGGATTATCTAGCATCGAATGATCATCATTTTGAAATCAAAACTTATGTGATACAAAAACTGCGCATGTATGCGGAGCTACATCCGAAATTTAAGGCTCTGCTACAAATGTGTCTGAATGAGAGGCCACACATTAATAACTATCATATTTTGGGGCAGAAGGGTGAGTGGAGGATTAATTTTTTTAATTTTTAAAGCAATTTTTTAATTTTTTCCCCTTTTAGGTTTCACATCAGTCCTGGCCAGACCTCTATCTTCCTCCCCAGCCTTTAACGAAACTTTGTTGAGTGTACAAGAAGTCCACAAGGGGGTGTTGAGACGTGGTTCCGTGGAATTATTACTGACAGCCGGAGAATATGCAGCCACCACATTTAAGGTGCGAATTTGAATATCTCCCTCCTTTACAAAAATTTAAATTTCTCTATTCACAGTTGGGCATCTTCACAAATGGTCTGGAATCATTTGTGGGTGGCAACAATGAGGTCGATGGTGACATGGATGATGACGATGAGGATGAAAATAAAGAATATGATCCCATTTCGGCTGGTATGGAAATTTCTGTCAATGGAATTTTACATCGGCCATTGATTTTCTTTACCGGCAAAGCGGAGTTAATGGGTCACATATGGAGTGGTACAGTTTCGGAATCGACTCCTGCCTTCCAGGGTACAATGTTGGGTCATGATCATGAACACTATTTGCTGTTAACCTCTGGGGCTACAATACATTTTACTGTGATCGGTGCCAGGTCGGTGGATTTGAATGGCAAGGCGGGTTTTAGTTTGTGGAATCGTAATGCCAATACGGAAATTAAACAAGAGTAAGTAATAGTGAACAGTTAATTTTCGAAAGAGAATATTTTCTAAAATTCAAAGGAATGTGGATTTTTAAAAAAAATATTTTTTAAGACCCAAGTAGTTACAACGAGAGAATTGCGTTTGCTGGTGACAAATACATCAACGCTATTGGTAAGGGTGGCGTGCACATGCATGCCATCGATTTTAAAATTAAACTTGAAAACGTTTTGTACTCGCCTGAGTTGCAAGCTAATTTTATGTCGGTTAACAAGGTTGTTGACAGAGGATTAACATTTACTTTTGATGAGAAGAGAGCATCAGTGAAGAGACCAGATGGTGAAATTGTGTTGCAAGGGGACCGAACGGACAACATGTTTGTATTCAACGGCAAGGCGTGTGAGAAATTGTTCGTTATGGAGAACAACAATTTGGTGTGGCACAATAGATATGGTCATCGTAACTTGAAGAGCCTAAATGATTTATCCAGAAACGGTATGGTAAATGGCATGAGAATACATGACAAAGTCATGGCCAGTTGTGACACCTATATGTTATGTAAAGTTCATGTATTGCCACTCCCTCAGACGGTTTCCAAGGCATCACACGGCAGTTGACGGTTCCTCATACACCACAACAAAACGGGGTAGCCGAGAGGCTTGTGGAAATGGCCAGATCCATGATGATGTATGCGAATGTGAAACTAGCTTTATGGGCAGAGGCAATAAACACCGCGGTTTATATTAGAAATAGGTGTCCTACAAAGCAGCTGGAAAACAAAACGCCGTATGAAGAATGGTGTGGAAGAAAGCCTAGCATACAACATTTCAGAATCTTTGGAGCATGTGCTGTGGCCTTAGATAAGTCTGGGAATAAAACCAAATTCGATGCTAAAGGCAGGTGATATATAATGGTTGGATATTCATCGACAGCTAAGGTGTACCGTCTGCATAATGCGGATAAAAATAAGATCATCGAATGACGGGATGTGCTGAGAGTCATCTGATGGAGAAGGATATTCCACGAGTGATAAACTTTCTGATTATATTCTGCAAGACCAAATTGATTTCGATGGTAATGAAAGAGTCACAGACAATAATTTACATCGAAATAGAATGACTATGGAGCTGAAAATCAAAGTGCAGTGTATTCCGAGGATGATATGAGTTACTGCGAAGGGTTCGAAACAGCTGAAAATGAATGTGAGTCCAGAGATGAGGAAATAGGTACTGCACAGGGTATGCGGATAAAAATAAAGTCATCGAATGCCGGGATGTATTTTTTGATGAGAATCGTTTTGGTAAATGCAGTGAGTCATCTGTTGAAGAAGGATCTTCCACGAGTGATAAACTTTTTGATTATATTCTGCAAGACCAAATTCATTGCGATGGTAATGAAAGAGTCACAAACAATAATTTGCATCGACTATGGAGCAGAAAATCAAAGTGCAGTGTATTCCGAGGATGATATGAGTCACTTCGAAGGGTTCGAAACAGCTGAAAATGAGTCCAGAGATGAGGAAATAGGTGCTGCACAGAGTATGCCGAAGAAAGTAGGTCCAGGTAGGCCTTAAATTATTCGCAATGGAAATCCAGGTCGACCCCGAAAGCAACCTTATGAGGTGCTGTCATGCTGTTGACGAAATACGGTGGAGTATGCAATAGCTGATAACTGGTGATAATGGAAATAAATTGCTCTTTGCAAGATATATTCACCTGGTAGATCTTCCAAGAGGACAAAAAGCTATTCCATGTATGTGGGTCTATGCCATAAAGAGGAATATAAATGGTGAAATTGAGAGGTATAAGGCTCGCTTGGTAGCCAACGATATGGAATAGATTTCAACAAGATATATTCACCTGTCGCTTGCTACTCAACAATTCGAATTTCGACTTTGGCTGTTTTTACCCCAAATCGATGTCAGTACTGCATATTTGAACAATGAACTCCATGATGAAGTATATATGCAGCAGCAACCGAATTTTGAGGAAAATAGTTCGCCGAACAAAGTTCTATGTCGCCATAATGCTATTTATGCACTGAAACAAAACGGACGGGAGTGGAACTCTAAACCATGCGATAACGAACCCTGTCTCTACAAAGGCATGAGGAGAAACAAACTAGTGTTGATCGCCGTTTACGTAGATACCATTATTATTGGGTGCAAAGACAAAATGATTGTTTTGGAGATCAAAAATTATTTTTGCAAGTGTGTTAGATGCCAGCGATAAGGGGCAGTTAGGCCACTTCCTGGGTATGGAGATCAAAAGAGAAGGTAAGAAGGGTATGATCAAATTGGGGCAAAGCCAATGCATAAGTGATCTATTACAACAATATGGAATGGAAGATTGTAAAACACATCAAGTACCATTGGAATCCGGTTATAAGTTAAATTGTAATGATGATGACGAACGTGTAGATCAAACAGAGTATCAATCTCTCGTTGGAACCCTGACATCTTGCATTCAGTGTCGAAACTGGCTCAGAAAAATGCTGACCCTCGAAAGGCCGGATCGATCACCAAGAAACTGACATATCAACTTAATGGAAGTAATCTGGAAGGTTACGTAGATGCGGACTGGGGTGGTAACCCAGTAGACCGGAAATCATATACCAGATTTATATTTTCAATTGGTGGAAGTCTTAGTCCAGAACAATGAAAAAAATTAAAATAAAAAATTTTATCATTTACTAACGCGTGTTTTTTTAAACACAAAATGCGTGGTTTTTTATAATATTTTTTAAACAATAATTGATTTATCCTTAATGTTCATCCTTTCTATTACAGAACTGCCAATGTCGTCTTTGGTAAAACCAAAGTTGGTTTCACTTATGCCACTGCCACCCATGAATTTGTGTTCTCCTACGAACCCAAAATTGTGCTCGAGGCACATATTGATTTCTATGATGAATTGAAATTGTGTATGCGTCTCCAACGACCGGAGATGGTTATAAAGTAGGTATCAATTATTTTCCATATACAAGCATTTATTAACAAATCTTTCCTCTTTTCTTGCAGTGTCAAAAACACAAAATCGGTTGCCCTGCATTCCATGTATGACTACACCAAAACGGTCAACAAGAAATATTCCCAAAAAATACCCGGACACACAATTGCATTGAATCAAAAGAATAACAATATGTGTCGCATGGTTGCCAAAGATTTACAACATTAAAAGGAGGGAGGGGACAATTGTTTGATGATCAACAACGTTCCAAAGCATAAAACTATGTTCCTAAGTTTAATTAGGATATTTACACAACACGCTCGCAAAAAACATCAACATCATATCCCCTTTTCGCGCTCGCTCTACCTCGATCAGAAAAAATGTTAATTGTTGTTTGGACAGCATCATTCTGTGTATGTTTAATTGTAAAAAATGGAAATGATTGTTTAGAATTAAATATTTTTTTGATCGTCTACCACAATGAACAAAAGACTCGATTTATTTTTATATAGGATTTTTGTGTAATTACTTACTTGTGTATAGAGAGAAAGCTAAGCTTAAAAATTTAATCTTTATTCAATACTCAACAATAAAATTTATTACTTTAATAAAAGATATAAAAAGAAATTTATTATTTAAAATTTAAAAAAAATGCACGCCTTGTGTGGATCTCTGAAAAAATATTCTTTAATATTCTTGTGTGGCTCCTTAAAAATATTCTTTAAAAAATCCACGCCTTTTGTGGATCTGTGAAAAAGATGTCAGGTCTCGTAGAAGAAAGAACAAGAAAAACGTGAGCAAATCGAGATGTACAGGAGTCAGAAGGAAGTCCGGAAATTTTACCACAGGCACATCCTCCTGTAGTGATGAAGAAGGAAACCTGGTGACAGATACAGACAGCGTGTTGAGGATCTGGAAGGAGCATTTTGAAAAACTTGTGGTATCAAATAGTAGCGGTGAAGAAGATACCCCAGAACCAATAAGAGATGACGGTATATAGTGTATACCACATAGCCAAGATGTGGTCACAAAAGCAGTTAGTCGGCTCAAGAACAATAAAGCTGCAGGGCCGACGGGTTACCAACGGAACTGTTCGAGACTGGTGGTCAGGAGCATGCACCAGCTGATTAGTATAATTTGGCTAGAGGAATGCATGCGCAAGGATAGGAACCTCAGCATCCTGTGTTCCGTGCACAAAAAAGGAAACAAGACGATATGTGCCAACTATAGAGAAGTTAGCCTTGGCATGGCATATAAAGTGCTATCCAGTGTGCTGTGTGAACGATTGACGCCAATGGCCAATGACATTATTGGACCATACCAATGCGGCTTCAGACCTGGCAAATCCACCATTGACAAGATTTTCACTCTGCCCCAAATCCTGGAAAGACCCACGAAAAACACATCGACACATACCACCTATTCGTCGACTATAAAGCCGCATTCGACAGCCCTATCCGTTCAGAGGTGTTTAAAGCCATGTCTACGTTCGGCATTCCTGCAAAATTAATACGGCTATGCAGGATAACTTTAACTGGCACAAGGTCAGCAGTTAAAGTCGGAAAGGACCTATCGAAGCCCTTAAATACCGATCGAGGATTCAGACAAGGTGATAGTTTTTCGTGTGACCTGTTAAACATCCTGCTGGAAAAGGTCGCAAAGGTGAAAAGAACGCAATGGTGAACAGAAATGGCAGTCTGTACACCAAACAACACATGTTACTCGTCTACCCCGATGTCATCGATATAATGGGTCGAACATTGCGAGCCACCTTTAAACAAATTGAGAAGCAGTCTGCCAAAGTGGGTCTGGCAGCAAACGGCGAGAAGACCAAGCTAATGGTATCAACGCTCAAGACATCCAATAGACTCGGACCAACTATGGAACTTGAGAACTACAGCTTCGAGGTAGTTAAAGATTTTAAATACCTTGGTACCGCCATAAATAAAACGAATAACATCAGTTTTGAAATTCGGAGAAGGATTGTGATGGCCAACAGGTGCTACTATGGTCTAAGTAAGCAGTTTAGAAACAAGGCCACCTCCCGCCAGACCAAAAACTCTCACTTTACAAGACGCTGATACTACCCGAGCTGCTATATGGATCTGAAGCATGGGTACTTGCGCAAGCAGATGAGGCAGCTATGGCTAAGCCATGTTGTGCGAATGAATGAGAATGCCCCAGCTCAAAAAGTATATAAAGGCGAGCCTACTGATGATTCCCGTAGAAGGGGAAGGCCACAAATCAGAGGGAAAGACCAAGTAGAAAACAACATCTTGAAACGTGGTCTTTCAAATTGAAGGAGACGCGCACAAGACCGACGTACCTGGAAATCTTTTTTAAGCTCGGCTTAGGGAAAAACCGTTCTGTAACAAGTCCGCTAAGTAAGTGTAGTTTCTTAAAAAATATTATTTACAAAATCCACGCACCTGTAATTCCTTAAAAAAATATTATTTACAAAATCCACGCCCCTGTAATTCCTTAAAAAATATTCTTTAAAAATCCACGTCTTCTGTGGGCCCTTAAGAAATATTTTTTTCAAAAGCACACGTCTTGTATTGGTCCTTGAAAAAATATTCATTAATAAATGTATGTACATGGCCCCCTGACTGTTATTTTTTAAAAATACTCCCTCTTTTCTTTAAATAATTTCAAATATATCAATTTTTCCTCTAATTTGCTTCATTAATACAGTAGAGTCTGTTTTCGATCTATCAACCCCTATAGTCACTCACTGTGATTGAAATTTGTGTACCTTAATCAGTCTTGCAATGGCAACCCTCATTTGTTTACAATTCACAACATACCGTTGGCTCTCTTAATCATGAGGGGAAAGAGCGCGCACTCATAGGAAACGGATTACCACTATGTGTGAGAGAGAGAGTCAGACAGTGCGGAGTAATGGCAAACAAACATGATACACATTGAAATTAATAAAAATAAATTCTTGTACTCAGTCTTTTAACGAAACTCTACTCTGTTGGAATGTAAATTGTCGTAAAATCGGAAAAAAGTGTTTGTGTGCAAATAACAACAAATAAAAAGAAAGAAAAGAAAAAAAAAAAAACGTGAAATAAAGCTAAAAAGAAGAAAAAAAATAATTTACAAATTCACGAAAGAAGAAGTTTGCATCGAAATAAAAGTTCTCGAAAGAAATACTTCCGGTTAAAGTAAGCAAAAATAAGCAGATTTAAAGAACGCACTCCCGTGTGAGTGAGTGTATGAATGAGTGTGTGTATGTGTGTGCTGTAAGTTTATTATTTAAGTAGTGCGACAACTGGTGCGATGCTAACCTAAATGTAATATCGATTTTTTTATTACAAAAACCAGCAATTGGCCAACATTCTTATTGCAACAATCATCATTGGCCATCATTGCCATCAGCTGCTGGCAGAAATTGTGAAACTGTGAAAAAAAGCAAACAACAGCAGGCATGATTGTGAAGTGACTAGTCGGCGTTTTTTTTGCATTCGCTGGAAAAAAAGAGTTAAGCCATTCATTCAAAGGCAAAATGTGCTAAGTATCCGATTAATTATCGCCGACACGAAAAAGTGTTTAAAAGCCGAACTCCCTCCTCTTTAAAAAACACAAAAAATATATAAACAATAAAAAAAACGACAACAACAACACTGCCAAGAAATCATATTTATCAAATTAGCACAGGCATGTGAAGTCAAGAACATGACAAGACATGAAGAAGAAGGCAAAAAAGAAACAGCTCCAAACAATATCTCATTGCTTAACAATGTTTCGCATAAATGGCCCCAGCCAAGCCAGCCAACCAACTCTCCCTGTGCGCCCTCTCCCTCCCCCTGTACGCAAAACAACAACACAATCAGACACCGTTTGTTATTTGTTCACAGTTCTATTATCAACAAATAAGAAATAAAAAAGCAACAACAAATTATTATTAACAAAATTTTATTATTAATTATTTTTTATTCTTGGCCAAATATTTGCATTTTATTTATGCCACTACTATTGTTGTTGTTGTACCTACATGGTAAAGTAAAAGGAGAACAAAAAGAAGAAATGGGAGAAGAATGGTATGGCATGGCTGGCTAAGCAAGTGGTAGCAGCGCATTCGATAAGAATTAAAAAAAAAACAAAAAAAAAAATCGTGAAAGAACAGAAAAAATTATGTTTTGTGTACATAGTAAGTGGTTGGTGTTCTTTCGGTGGTTCTTATTCTTATTGTGGTCGTTGTTGTTCTTGTTGTTGCTAAAGATGATTTTTTGTACTGTTGTTTTGTTTTTGCCTACCACCAACCAACCAAATCCATATCAGCAAGAAAATTGTCTTTTTAGAATAGAAAAAAAGATCTTAGTGGTGGGGATTATTTGTCGTCATATTACTGGATATAGCGCAATAACAACAAAAAACTATGACAGCAACAAAAACAACTGCGCGTACAATCGGTATTTTTGTTCGTTTCGTTTCTCTTCTTTAAGTTAATCCTTTACAAGAGAGTGGGACAAATTTAAATAATTGTTGAAAAAGAGGGGAATGAGAGTGATAGAGACAGAGAACGTATTTACGTGTTGCAAACACACGAGTAGTAGTTTGTTCTTGTTGCTTGCGTTCTTATCATCTGTTTACGTTTACAGGGTTGTAAATTTTGGTTAAGGATTAGACGATAAGGGTTTCCACATGATTAATAATTCTTGTAAAAAAATGACAATGCGAAGAAGGGGTAAATGCGGGATTTACTTTCTTTGAGGAGTTCTTCTTCAAGTCTGTATCTGATTTAAAATTGTTCGGCTTATATTTCTTTTAAGGTCACCTCTCAGAAAAATAACCATAGGTATCACTAACTATACTATATACTTCCGAGATATGGGGAAAAGTTGGAAAACCGTCCCTTTTTGGGATTAACCCTAGTTTAGTAAAAACGACCATTTAATTAATTTAATTTTTCACAGAGGTTGGCATTTTTACCCTAATTTCTTACTTACTTAGCTGGCTTGCTACAGAACGGTTGTTCCATAAGCCGAGCTTAAAAAAGATTTTCAAGCTCTTCCGTCTTGTGCGCATCTCCTCCAATTTGAAGGAGCACGTTCCAAGATGTTGTTTTCTACATCTAATTCGTGGCCTTTCCCTTCTGCGTGAACCATCAGTAGGCTTGCTTTTATATGCCTTTTGAGCTGGGGCATTCTGATTCATTCGCTCAATATGGTCTTGCCAACGTAGTCGCTGCAGCTCAATGCGACTGATGTCCGATGTCCGTG